AATGACTATGGAGAGCGGAGATTCCAAACCGGGCAGCGTGCCTCAAAAGCACACACCCTACCCACTGAGCCACCTGGATGCCCGGGGTACAGTTGCTCCTGTTGCTCCAAGTCTAGACAAAGGACGGGCAACCGACTGCGGCCCCGGCCGACACCTTCATGGCTGCCTCTTGAGAGCCCCTAGTCACTGGGTCAGGCGGATGCTAAGTACTTGATAGAAGTGACGTCCTGTCACTCACATTCCTCTAAGACAGTGGTTCTCAACCTTCCTAATGCCGCAGCCCTTTAATACAGTTCCTCATGTTGTGGTGACCCCCAACCATAAAATTATTTTCGTTGCTACTTCATAACTGTAATGTTGCTACTGTTATGAATCGTAATGTAAATATCTGATATGCAGGATGTATTTTCATTGTTACACATTGAGCATAATTAAAGCATAGTGATTAATCACAAAAACAATATGTAATTATATATTTGTTTCCCGATGGTCTTAGGCGACCCCTGTGAAAGAGTCGTTCGACGCCCAAAGGGGTCGCGAACCACAGGTTGAGAACCGCTGCTCTAAGAGGTGGACATTATTATGGACAGAGATTTTCGGCGGCTTGCTCCAGATTACACGGCTACCAGGTGATAAAACAGGGACTTCAAACCGTTTGTTTCTGTCTCCACGGCCATATTCTTTCCGCTCTGTTGACCGAAGGGGGCAAGTATGATTTCAGATGCTCTCCTAGAATTCAGTCCTGCTGAAGAAAGCAACAACTCTACCCACAAGGCCATCGTGGTATGAGGCCTATGATGACCGTCCTGCCGCAGTGCCTCCCGGGGCCCTTGCTCAGCATGGCCCGGCCTTCCCACCCTGAGCTAGAGCAGGCGCCCTATCATCCCCCCTCATCCTGCCCCCTTAGGTTTCTCTGCACCAGAATGGGTTACCCCGACTCTCTGACACCTTTTGTCACAAATCAGTGGGACTCGGTGTCAGAACTGCCTTGCTCAATTTCGGGTACAGAATGGCCCCTTACATGTTTCACCACCAACCTAATCTTATCAAAACAGGATATATTTTTATGTGGCATAAGTTGTCCTCACAGAACCACACCCCATGCTGGGCCCAGGTTCTTCCCAAAGTCCTCACAGACATCTGCTCAATCTTGAGATTTGCCAGGAATCCACAACAAATTTATTGACTTGTGCCAAACACAACTTGTCCCTCTTCTGAAAACGAGGACCTACCGGACAACCAGTTCACGTTCTTTTGCACTCATGTAACAGAGATCACAAAAGGCTAATTATAGCACAATAAACTTGTTCCAATGACCTGAAAGAATACATATATATAAAATACAGCTCAAGCCTAACATCTAACGGTCCGGTCCCCTTGACATTATTCTGGCATGTACCAATATGTGACTCATCACAGACAGTATCCTTTTCCTGGGCAACACTAAGCAAAACTATTTAACTACACATGTAAATATACATACACAGTGAATATGTACACACATATATACCATTTATATACACCTTATATGCGCATATACACGCCTTATATATGCATGTAATGTGTGTTGCCTATGTATATATTATATACGCCCTATCATATTAATGTCAACAGTCATAACTGAAGGGACTTGGGGAAGGGGGAGAGGAAGGGAAGAGGAGTAGACTGGGAGTATGGGTCTCCAGGGCATTTTCTTCATAACATTTTCCTCAATACTGGACCTCAAAAAGCTACAAAGAATTATCCAGTGCCTTCTGGATATTGGGAAATTTTTCTTTTATATATTATTTTTCTTGAATCTTTAATTTACTCAATGGCAGCTACTTGACTATCAAGAAAAGATCTTGGTCTCAAATCACCTGCAAGACTTCCCAACACGCCCAGTGACTGCCCCCATTCTGCACAGCGCACTCAGGCTCAGGGGGAGCCTCCAATTAGCTTGCTACTTCTACATTCAGATTTAGTAGCTAGCCTTTTTTAATAAAGAAAAACGGGCCAGGTTTACCACCGAAGAGATGAGTTGTAAAGTATGGGCCAAATTACTCAGCAGTCGGTATCCAAACACCTGGTCACCACAAATGATTAATGTATTTCTAATCAACACTGGATTCAGCCCAAGATGAAGATGCGTAACTCATTAAGTAAAATTTCCTGGAGCTTTGTTAAAGGATCACAAATGTTTAATATCGGCATGAAGGAATAAGCCGTAATAACAACTTTGTTTTCCTGAAAAGAAATGCTAGCTGCAAATCAGGCCTAGAATACTGAGCACTTTTTAAACAGCAAGCTCTGCGCTTTTAAACCTTGTCAGCTGGAGCTGTTTAATGGGAGAATAGGCCCTTATGAATCCCTGTGCCTGGGGGTCAGGCAGAGGCGGAAGCATTGGGAGCCTGCAGTGCTGCACTAACGCCCCCCAGTGCAAGGGCCGGAGGACCGCGGCTGGAGGTGGGCAGCGGAGGAGGAAAGGCGAGGGTATCACCTACTTCTCTGTACAATGTATATACTGTGACGTGTACCACAAATTGGGATCAGAACCTACCAGGAGTCTAACTCCAGAGGAAGCATTCACTGTGTTAACACTTACAGTTGACTCCTGAACAACACGGGTTAGAACTGCGTGCGTTCACTAATAATGAATTTTCAAAAACAAATATACAATTAAAAACAACATTTTATTTATTTTTTGTTAATCCTCACCAGAGGATATTTTTCCATTGAGTTTTAGAGAGAGTGGAAGGGAGGGGGAGACAGAGAGAAACATCGATGTGAGAGACACACATCAATTGGTTGCCCCTCCCACATGTGCCCTGGATCTAGCCTGCCCCAGATTGAGCCTGCTACGTGCCCTTGACCGAAATCGAACTTGGGACCCTTCAGTCGATGGGCTGACCGCTCTATCCCAGTGGTTATCAACCTTGGCTGCACATTAGAATCACCTGGGAATCTTTTTAAAATCCTGGTTTCTGGGCCTCACCCTCCAGGAATTCTGTTTGTTACTAATGTTGTGGCCTTACCCCATAACAAAGAAACAGGATTTCCAGAGGATGAGGCCCAGAAACCAGGATTTTAAAAAGATTCCCAGGTGATTCTAATGTGCAGCCAAGGTTGAGAACCACTGCTCTATCCACTGAGCCAAACCAGCTAGGACTGAAAACAATATTTTTAACCTAAAGCTGAGAATCCACAGATGTGGAGGACCAACTGTATGCATCATTCTATATCATCTATATATATAAAACCCTAATATGCAAATAGACCAAATGTTGGAACAACCAAACAACCGGTGGCTATGTGACCACCAGAGGGTGCGTGCGGAATATGGCGGATGTCAGCAGCAGGCGGCAGAGCGTGGAACACGGTGAGTGTCGGCTGCAGCGGGATGGTGGAGCAAGTGAGCGGGGGCACCAGACCAAGGCGGGGCACCAGATCAAGGCAGGGCGCCAGTCGCTGTCATCAGGGAGAGCCTCCGGTAGCTGCTGAAAATTCTTTGCTCCCGTGTGCCGCAGTCCCACCCAGCACTCACACCCGCAGCTGACACCAGAGCCGCCGCAGAGGGAGCGGGGCTGCCGGTAGAGAGGGGACAGGGGCCACGGCAGGAGGGGCCCGGCTGGGGTACAGAGGATGGACCAAGACCCGCCCCTGTGCCCACCGCAGCCTCGCGGCCCACAGTTCCTTTTAAGGTGCACGAATTCGTGCACTGAGCCCATAGTTTTATGTAAGGGTCTGAGAATCTGAGGATTGGGTGTCTGCGAGGACAACTGTACTAGTAGTTAAGTTTGGGGGGAGTCCAAACACAGACTTTTGCTTGTGCAGGGTTGACTGGCAGAATCAGGGTTGGAGCCCACGTGGAGCAGACACACCGGGGCCTGGGAAGGGCTGGTTGTAGACAGGCTCCCAAGGAGTCCCGTCAGGGCTGTTTCTAGGGCCACACACCAAAGAAAGGCTGCTCTTGTGACTGCTGAGGCTGCTTGGCTGGCAGAATTGGAAGGAAAAAGGAAGCAGCTGGCCAGATGTTCCTTCCTATGTGACCTAGTGCTGGAAGCTTCTAGCTGACAAGAGAGAAGCAAGCTGGGAGGGGGCGCACTGGCACCCACAGGCCCCTATGGCCTGAGTGCTGGCTCCCGGTGGCCAGCTCACTGCAGGAGCCTCCTCCACTCCCCTCCCTGCCTGACCTGTCACTGCAATCACGGAGGCATTTCCTCGGGGATAAACCCCAGCACCCAATACAGTCATGTGCGCTAAGCACCGTGTGAACCCCCATTTCCAGCAGCCAGGCCGGGCCCCCAGAGCGGCCTGGGGACTTGGAGAGGGTCACCCAACAGCCCCTGGGCGGAAACAATGACAGCGGCAGGCAGACAACTGGCGACGGAGGACAGCTCGTCTCCAGAGTCATCCCCACTTGACACACAGGGAGGCGGCTGACACCCCAGCTTCCCCTGCAGCCCCCAGGGCCTGGGGCGGGCAAACCGCGCGGGCGGCAGCTCCCAGCCCCTGGGCGGGAACGGGTGAGGTCTCTGCCCTCCTCCCAGCACACGCTGCCCAGCCTCCGGCTCAGGGCAACAAGTCAGGTCGGGTGTGACCCGGAACTGAGCTCTGAAATCCCAAGAGCGTCAATTACAGCAACAAAACCGGTCCATGCAGGGGTGGGGCGCAAGGGGCTCTGGGGCACCGTCCTCCCAGGGCCCCCCTCCAGAAAACCAACAGCTCACCCCAAACCAAGGACGAGGTCTCGGACCTTCACGGACCTTCCCCGGACACACACCCACTCCCTCCTCGCGCGCCACTACATCCACACCGCGGACCCCGCGCTCGGGCCCGCCTGCCCCCCCCCCATGTGCACTCGGGCGCACCCCACGCCGGCACCCCCACCTGCACCCCGTCCCAGATCTGACAGGCACATGCCCCACGCACGGCTGTCCGCTCGCGACCCGCCCAGGCACCCCTCGCGCCGCACCGGTCCCGCTCCCAGCCCCGGCCGCGCCCCACGGCCCCGCACTCACCGGCGCGGCGCCCGCCGGCCCCCGCGTCCGCCGGCCCTGCGGCCTGGGCCCGCCGCCGCCCGCCGCCCGCTCCGGCCGCTCCGGCCGCGGCTCCGGGGCTGCTCCGGCCGCGCCGCCGCCGCTTCCCGTCACGTGGGGCGGCCGCTCTGCGCGGGAGGCGGGAGCCCGAGTGTCCCTGCGCCGCCCGCCCGCAGCCGGCACACGCGGCCCTTAGAGATCCCGCTCCGGGCGCAGCGGCCGAGGGGCGCCCCCTGGGCCTCAGTGTCCTCCGCCGCCTGGTGGGGCGGCCGTGAGGGGCGGGGCGGTAGGTCCCGGAGGCACGGACCGCCCGGCAGCGAGCGCGGGTGCGGAGTGCGGCGAGGCTGGCCCGGCGCACCTGCTCCCGGCCCCGCCCGCACCGCTCGGGAAACGCCGGCCGCGCGGCTCCGCTCCCGCTCATTTCTCACCCCAAACAGCGGGGCGCGGGAGGCACGGGAAACGCGGGCCGAAGGAATGAATGAACCGACCGACCAGCCAATCCCGGGGGAAGCTAACCACACGGCCAGCTGACTGTTGCGGAGCAGCCAATCACAGGCCTGGGCCAGGACTCCACATTTGCATGAGCTGAGCTGCCCTTACCCAGTGGCAGAGGGGACACCACTGACTCAGGACGCTGGCCTAAGGGCCTTGCAGAGGTTCTCGGGGAAGCCTCCCAGGTCCCTATGAAGTAAGGCTATCTATCTCTCCATTTTACAGATCAGTTGACTGAGGCACAAATAAGCGAATTGCTTATCCCAAATTCCATGGTAGCAAGGGCAGAACAAGATACAAACCCAGAATTCAAAACCAGTGGATTTTTTATATGCATCAAATTAAGTTCTGTTGATTGAATAGTGTATGGCACAACACTATGTTCTGCTTTAAACAATACAGGAGTGAAAGTGTATATTAACAAAAAAGAGAAAAATAATTCAGAAATCATGAGTTCCTTTATGAAAGGATTCACCATAGGATGCTTACAATGTCAAACTCCACATGTGCACACTACTCCATCTAGAAACATGTGTGCTTCCTGGAACTCTGAGAAGTTTACTTCACATATGGCAGGAACCTCTATGTAAATAACTATTCCATAACCATGGAAATATCTGCATCAGGACTAATTCTAAATTAGTTTGATTACATTTAAGAAGAAATATATCAGTCATGTTTCTCCAAGGAATTGTTAATTAACTTCATTTATTAATATTTATTCAATATCCCTTGGGTCCATCCGAAACATGTTACGAGTATTTATAGCATGGGAAGTAAAGTTGTGTTCTAATGGATTAATGAAGATTAAGAGTTAAATAGATACAACTGAATGCTTTTAATAGTTGCCATCTACTCTCCTACTTTCAAAACATAACATCCTCACACTCACAAGCACACTTAAGGTTCCTCACTGGCTGTAAGCTCTTAAGGACAGGTGTGTCTATCAAGTTTTTGCTGTGTCTATCTGCATGTAGGAAGCGCTCAACCAACATTTAAAATTCTTGCCCTAGCCGGTTAGGCTCAGTGGATAGAGTGTCGGCCTGCGAACTGAAAGGTCCCAGGTTCGATTGTGGTCAAGGGCACATGCCTGGGTTGTGGGCTCGATCTCCAGTGGGGGACTTGCAGGAGGCAGCCAATCCATGATTCTCTCTCATCGTGGATGCCTCTCTCTCTCTCTCTCTCTCTCTCTCTCTCTCTCTCTCTCTCTCTCTCTCCCTCCCTCCCTCCCTCTCCCTTCCTCTCTGAAATCAATAAAAATATATTTAAACACACACACACACACAAATGCATAAAAATAAATAAATAAAATAAAATTCCTGATACTCAATATTAAATTAGGCTGTCATTAAAAGAGACTTTTCATGCTAAGATGCTGTTACTCTAATTTATAAGCTCTCGTTACAAGTACACATCTAGTTTGGATATCAGTTTAGAATGTGAGGTTAAGCAAAGAAAGGTTATATTTATGATTTTTAAAAAATTTTTAAATTAATTTTTAGAGAGAGAGAAAGGAAGAGGGAGGGAGAGAGAGAGAGATAAACATCGATGTGAAAGTGAAACATGGATCAGCTGCCTCCTGCACACGCCCCACTGGGGATTGAGCTGGAAACCTGGGCATATGCTCTGCCTGGGAATCGAACCAGCAACCACTTGGTACACAGGACGACACCTAACCAGCTGAGCCACAGCAGCCAGGGCTATAATATATATATATATATATATATATATATATATATATATATATATATATATATATATATTTTTTAGCAAGCATGTTTTAAGAGCTTTTACATGTATTAGCTGATTTAAAGATAATACACATATTTATATACTTGTAAACTAGATTCAATAAAATAAACTTTTTGAACTGTTATTCCACTCAACTATTTCTTGAGCAGCCCCTATGTGCCAGGTACTATGGCAGAGGCTGCTGGGGATACTGAAATAGGACGTAGCCCCTGACCTCAAGCAGCTTAATTTAGTTCAGTGGTTTATAAAGTATGATCGGTGATCAGCAATACCAACATCTCCTTGGAAGTTGTTGTAAGTGCAAATTCCCGTGCCCCTAATCAAACCTCCTAAGTCAGAAACTTGGGGGTGACTAGCTCTCCAGGTGACTAACGCTCAGTCAGTTTTGAGAAGCATGGCTTTAGTGGGACTTGTGGGATACTCTCCTGGTCATATCCTAACGTAAAATATAATGTGCTCGAGGTTTGGTGACAGGAGGTCAGTTAGGAAGGGCCTGAGGAGCTGGGGAGGTTTACTGACGTTTGTTCGTCACGCACTGTTCTTTTATATATATATATATATATATATATATATATATATATATATATACACACACATACATACACACACACATATATATATATATATATATATATATATATATATATATATATATATATTATTGATTTTTTTACAGAGAGGAAGGGAGAGAGATAGAGAGTTAGAAACACTGATGAGAGAAAAACATCGATCAGCCGCCTCCTGCACATCTCCTACTGGGGATGTGCCCGCAACCCAGGTACATGCCCCTGACCGGAATCGAACCTAGGACCTTTCAGTCCGCATGCCGACGCTCTATCCACTGAGCCAAACCGGCTTCGGCACGCACTGTTCTTATACTGTGCGTGGTGCTGTGCTGGGTGCGGAGACAGGATGTAAGAGGCAATGGGGGGGCTCACTGAACAGGCATCTGATGGGTTTGACAAGAAAGCCAGTAGGGAGTTTAAGTATGTAAATGCATCTTTATGGTCATTGGATTGTACAGTAAAAGGGATGAGAATTGACAATAGTAAAAAATATGGTCTTTAATAATCATTATGGCCGAAACCGGTTTGGCTCAGTGGATAGAGCGTCAGCCTGTGGACTGAGAGGTCCCGGGTTCGATTCTGGTCAAGGGCATGTACCTGGGTTGCGTGCACATCTCCAGTAGGAGATGTGCAGGAGGCAGCTGATCGATGTTTCCCTCTCATCGATGTTTCTAACTCTCTATCTCTCTCCCTTCCTCTCTGTGAAAAATCAATAAAATATATTTTTAAAAAAATAATCATTATGGTACTAAAGGTAGTTATTAAAAACTCAAAGCAGAACTGTTGTTTTATTTTTATTTTTTTTAAATATATATATATATATATATTTTTTTTTTTACAGAGAGGAAGGGAGAGGGATAGAGAGTTAGAAACATCGATGAGAGAGAAACATCGATCAGCTGCCTCCTGCACACTCCCCACTGGGGATGTGCCCGCAACCAAGGTACATGTCCTTGACCGGAATCGAACCTGGGACCCTTGGGTCCACAGGCTGACGCTCTATCCACTGAGCCAAACCGGTTAGGGCGAACTGTTGTTTTAAATAGCTAAAAATACAGGTCCCAAATGGAAAGTGTTTTTAAAATTTTTACATTCACTTTGAAGCTCTTAATTTGATTTATGCTCAGCTATATTTTTGACAACTAATGATAAAATATTTGTAACATAAATATCTTAAATATTACACTATGGACAAGAGGAATCAACACCTGAAGTTCTCAGTATATATTTCACTTATGGTTCATTCAATACATATTGATTGAGTAACTACTAAGGACAACCACTCACTGTGCATGCTGGTGACCAGGATGGAGATTCAAAGCAAAGGTGTGGCCCTGTCCTGGAGGAGCTCGGGTCCTAGTGAGGTGGTGGTGCCAGGCCAGGCAGTGTCGGCTGCTGCCCTCAGCGTTGGTCTGCCAACTACAGGCACCAAAAAATGTTAATGAATGCAACGCCATGATCCAGGTGATGCAGAAACTCTCACAATTCTGAACTTAAAAATGTACGGTTATGTAAGATACAATTTGTAGCAGGAATCAACTTCAGTCTACATATTCAAATGTGTAAAAAATAGAGTTATTTTTCTGTAACTGAGCTTTATTTCCATTTGAAGCCCCCGTTTGGCCGCGGGAACAATAATCTTATCAATAGAGGCCTGCCCCCTTCCTCAGGGCTGGGTCCAGATTAGGGAATCTCTGAAGTGCCAAGATGAGAAGAGGGAGACACCAGATCTTTGCATTACTGATCCACCCACAGGGACCCTGGGATGCTCTTGGTCTCCGGTGCCGGTTGTCAGTCTGGCCCTCCGGTCCTGGCGACACCTGGCTCGAGGCCGGCTGTGGCTTCCTTGCCCTGCGAGGTGGCAGAAATCTCTGGGAGGTGGCCCTGCTGCCTCGGCATATTTGAAACATCACCTCCGAACTCCTTAGAAAGGAAAATTCTCCTCTTTCCCAGATTCCTGCCTCAGGACACTGATTGGAACCCAGACAGCAGGTTGCGAATACTCCGAGGCTCCACGCTCCAGGCTCTGCAGACGGAGAGGGCGCAGGCATTCCCAGGCTCCCCTCCCCGGAGGGTCCGGCATCAGAATCTCACTCTACTTCCTCCTCTCTGACCCTGGGTTTTTTTCTCTGCCTCAGAAGACACTCCCTCTACCCTGAGATTTTAGCTTCAGAGACACCTAGAATTATCGTAATGGATTTTTCATTTTAAAGCGGGATGTACTCGCGTCAGGTGACTGGTCCAGAGCACCCCAGGGAGCAAGGACCTCTCGCCGTTTTCAGGGTCTGAAGCTCAAGTTTTCCGCAGCTCCACCTCCGTGCTGCCACGTCTCTCCTTTGATGACAGTCACAGGCTACCACAGATCTCCAGGCAGGGCAAGTGCTCATGCGTTGGCGCCAATCTCTTAACATGACGAGGTGTGTTATCATTCCCATTTCACAGGGGAGGAGGCTCAAGTGGGGAGACGTGACGTGTCTCAAAACCAGCTGCCATTTATTAAGCACCTACTCTGTGTCAAGTGTGTTCGTTTTTGTTTTTAAATTGATTTGAAAGAGAGGAAGAGTGAGGAATATCAATGTGTTGTTCCACTTATTTATGCACCCATTGGTTGATTCTGTATGTGCCCTGACGGGGGACCAAACCTCAACCCGGGCATTTTCGGACCCTGCTCTAATCAACTGAGCTACCTGGCCAGGGCCCAAGTGTGTTATGTAAGCTCTACTGCTTAGATATTCTCCACGGACGGTGTTAGCAGAGCATTTTTCTGGTAAGACTGAAGCTCAGGACTTGAGTGACTCACCCAGGGTCTTGGTGCAGCAGAACAAAATCTGAACTGAGGCCTGGTTTCCAAGGCTCCCTCCAAGGCAGCTGCTTGTGCCACTAAAACAATGCACGTGCCTTTTAGAGGAGGAAATGGGGCCAATGCCAGTCACACTCACTTCACTATTATCATGAAAATCAAGTCAGATTCTGGACGTGGAATGCCATGATGCTAATACCATGAAGTTAATACACATAGCTCCAAATTAGGAACCCAAACACCTGCTTCAGCTCAGTTCTAAAACCCTGTTCAATTTGGCAAGTCGTTTAATCTCCTCAGACCCACTTCCTCAGCACTAAAATGAAAGAACTGACCTGAGTAACTTTTAATTCTGCCCTGCTCTGAAATTCAATTTCTAGATAAAGCATCATATACATAAATGATTATGAAAAATTGGAAAACACCTCTCAACTTTATCTTGGCTTTTGATTTAGCACCTCACTTATTTTCCAATTCCCTTGCAAGTTTATCTTTCGGCATCCTCAGATCTTTTTAGACACCGTAATAACTTCCAATAAAACAATACATCATAGAGGATGCAAACCACAAGCTTTGAGAACTGTCTGCAAGTTTAAGTTTTAAATGTGCAAAATATTTTGGGATGTATATCCCCTCCACAAAAGATGAAAGAGAAGTAGGAAAGATTTTTCAATAAATTAACTACTAGAGATTAGATAATAACACAACTAGATTCCGTTTAAACTAAAACTGTTACTTTACTGTAGGTACAAGTGCAGAGGAAATGTACTTGAATGTTAGTCTTGCTATTTCCTCATTCTCTGATCTTGAGCAAATTCCCCCATGCCTGTTTTCTCGTTTGAAAAAAATAAGCATTCCAGTACTGTGCATCTCAGAAGACTGTTCCAAGGAACCAGTTCCAAGGAACTATATAAATGCAGTATCTGGCACACAGCCAAAGTCTAACTAATATTTGGACGTTGTCACCAGCGCTCTCAGTTATTTTTATACGTGAGCAGGTTAATTCGAGAATTATTTTAGGGAACAAATAGGCGAGTGCCTACAGACCCCCAGAGCGAGGACGATGAGCTAGGTATGGAAACTCACTAAGGCAAAAAGCCCGGGAAGCCAGATGCCGAGCAAGGGGCGAAACTGGGAAAACAAGAACTTCGCCCCCAGGGTGACCTCTCCTCCCCTAGCATATCACTGGTCATGTGGTTTGGACCGGGCTCTTTTAAAAGGCCTGAGACCTTTTCCTCTCTAGGCCTCAGTTGTTTTTCAGTTTCAAGCCAAGAAAAGCAGCAAAACCAGGCAAGTGACACTGTGGCTGCCTCAGGACCAGCTTTTACCTCCCAAGTCAGTCCCTCCACATTGTGTCCTCAGCCGTGGGTAATGATTTGGCATGTGCTACGGATTGTTTTTCCTACATCCCTTCTTAGCAGGAGACAGAATTCTACTCAAAACATGGAAAACCGGATCACAAAGACGATCAACATGGCGGGACCCTGGGACGTGCTTCTCACCACTCCAAATGCTCTGGGTCCCTGGATCCATCACACCAGAGTGAAGAGGGCCCCAGAAGGGGAAGAATGGGTGACTGAACCCCAGGAACACCTCGAGGAGGAACCTATGGAGAACAGACCTTTACATCTTGCCTGGTAGGAGCTGGCACACCTGTTGCTAATATACAGAATTATACTCATTCTATTCATTTTGGGAAGAAAGTCACATACGGGGACCTTTATGTGTTGGAACTCATTGTCCGGGAAAAGGACTGTGGATGAAAAAACAAGGCCACATGCTAACCTGACAAGCTCAGGGAGGCCTGCTTGGCGGTCTTGCAAACTCAAAGACCTAAAGTAACCATAAAGGATGGTCTAAAATTGAAACTTTAACTACAAGCAGTTTATAGTGGGTAGTCATGTCCTGGGCCAGTATCTTCCCTAGTAAAGGTCAATCTTTACCTTAACTGAGTCTGTCTGTCTTTTTGCGTCTAAGATAACATCCATGTGAAAGGTCGGGGTAACTTGTAACTTCCCTTTTTCTGGACCCCTCAGGGCATAACCAAGTGTGCTTGGGCACCAGGACAGAGATCATAAATCCCTTTAGTGTTGTTGTTATCATGTTCATTGTTGACTGTTACCTATCCTGCACCCACCTAAGTAAAAGAAGGGTGTGTCTATCATTTTACTTTTTATCCAATCCCAGAGGTTCCCACCCCTCCCCCCTTTGCTTTCTCCCACCTCCCTAATCCATCACCAATGGAATTCCTGTAACCCACCTAGGTCCCCTCCTTCAACTGCAACGTATAAAAATAGATGAAAAACCCACCATTCTCTGGAGCATTGTCCCAATCTGTTGAGATCCTGCTTCCCGGCAATTGTCGACAGTTTGGCTCAAATGAATTCACAAAAATTCTTTACAGGTTTGAATGTTTTTATGCTAACAAGATGCAGGATGTTTTCTCTAAAGGTTGCTGCAGTAGCTCCCTGTGGTGAACGTCTGCCTTTTCCCAGGTGACCTAGTTGTCTTTCAGTATCTAACAACTACAATATGAACTATTATAATGTCACCCTCCCTTATAGTAATGGACATACTAAGCTGCCAACTGGTTGTTGTTGCATATTTCAAGAAAAACAATTTTAAATATAATAATGTTAACTGGTTGGTTTCTGATATGTGGAGTAACTGTTTATTCAGATACCCGGTCAACAGCACCAGAGGGGAGGGCCTTGTTCCTTACGCCCACGGACAGAAGGAGGCCTCTGCCCCATTCCATTAAGGATAATTATTAACAAACAGAAAGGGAAGGGAAATGTTAGGACCGTAGGGCAATAGGATCCTTAACGGCCATTGGTCAGCTTCCCGCCACAGGAGACAGACCCGAAACAAAGCTTTCCTGACAGGGTCCTGAAGGCACCAGCTCGCGCGCCTGCATTCCAGCACCCCCCCTCGCCCCCCCCAACCCCCCAGCCCCCGGTCCCCCGGACAAGTCCCCGCAGGTGACTGCGCACAGGAAGAAACTCCAGCGCCTGGGAGCTGCCATCGACCACCCACGTCCCCTGGGCGGTGCTGGGCAGCCCCTGCCTTTCCCTAAATCCATTCCATTTCTCTCCAAGCACCTTTGCTTACCCTGCCCGCGGCCCTACACCGGTTCACTTTCACCTACTATGTGCTGCGCCCGGCACTAAAGTCCCGGGTCTTGCAGCAAATTAAAGCGGGATTAGGGGACAAACTAAGGAACACGTGGCCAGCGTGAGACGCGCGTCACCGAGGCGGAGGGGGACCTCCCCCAGCACTGTCCTCGCGTCGCAGCAGACACCTCGGTTCCCCGCGCGGATCCCCGCAGCCCACCCGGCTGGCCCCGCCCCGCCCCGCCCCGCCCGATTGGCTCCGCCCCGTCCCAGGAGCGCACGCGCGGCGCCCCGGGGATGACACGCTCAGCCCCGCCTACACGTCACTTCCGGGACGCTTCCTGCGCGGGGCCTTGTGGGTAGCTGGCCGGGTCCGGGCGACGGTGATGGCGGGGGACGTGGGCGGGCGCCGCTGCCCGGACTCGGAGCTGCTGCTGCACCCGGAGTTGCTGTCCCGGGAGTTCCTGCTGCTGACGCTGGAGCAGGTCGGCGCCGGGGCCGCGGGGCGGGGGCCGGGGTGCTCTGGCGGGAGCGCTCCCGCCCTCTGGGCGGCTCGGCGCTGGCCCACCTGGTCTCCCCGCGCCCCCCGAAAGGAGACTTCCTTCCACATCAGGAACCCCTGGGGATTGGGACTTACCTTTTGGGGTTCATGATGGCTCGCAAAGATGGGTCCTCGGCGACCCTCGCGGCCTGTACGGGAGCAAGGAAGAGGGGCCGGGCGAGGGTCGTGGGGGGACGGAAACGGGGACGTGGTCGGGGACTCGGGAGCACCGCATGCGCACCCGGTTGCAGACGAGGACGCAGGGGTGAACTGCCCTCTTTCGGGGCACCCCGTCGTGATTGCGGTGCAGGATCCGCCAGGAGGAGAATTCGGGGTTCTGCGCTCCCGGTGTAGCGTTTGCTCTTTCTCAGCTAATGTGGCCGCTCGTTGTAGGCGAAAAAGAAGACAGAAAGTGATAAATTTTGTGTAAAGTGGTAGAGAATTACTGGCCGTTTCCTTGGGGTTTTATGTATAGCATCTTGTTTTTCTTGTGGCTCCTGAGCCCTCCGTGCTGCATCTTTGTCTAAGCTCATCAAGCCCTAGCTCAGCGGGTCATCTCAGTGATGTCAGTTACCTTTTGCCTGTGTTTCTCAAACCTCTTAGGCACATCAGAGTCACCCAGGACTGGTTAAAACACACATTTTGCGGGACTCATCCCCACTGTGTCGGAGTCAGTAGTTCTGAGATGGGGCCTGGAAATCTGCGTGTGTTTTTTTAGCCAGTTCTCGCTTCTAGTTCAGGGACCACAGTTAGCACCGCTGCCCCTAAGCAGGGCCTCCCGGTCTAACCTGCCAGTGGTTCTGCGGGACACTGTCTATGGGACCCTCGGGGTTCCCACGTGTCCCCGAGTGAGTGAGTGCAGGTGCAAGTTGATGATACACGCCCATCTGGTATAAGACAGAAAAGGAGCACAATTGTGCTTTTAAGTTTTTAAGGGGAAAAAAGGATTGGGAAAAGTTTCAGAGGACATAGGTTGGATGTGTTTAGTCAGTTCTAAGCACAGTGTTCCCAGAATGGTAGGTGAGCCGTGATCACCTCTCCATTCCGGCTTGCTTCGCTGTTCTCCTCATCGATGAGGATGGTGTCAGCGGACGTGCCCCTGTTGCCTGGCATGTTGGCTGAACACTGTGGACAGTAGGGCTTGTCCCACGGAGGACATGTGGCCATTGCCTGTCAGAGGAGGCTGGACCTAATATTGACAGAGTTTGACCTACTTATAATACCGCATTTTTCAGTATTATAAAGGACCCTTAAACATGTGCCTAATTGTAGCAATGGTTTTATAATTTGTTGTTTAAGCAGTAATGTTCTGCCCTGTTAGGCAGGTAGTTGGTTAGTTGTTAAAAGAAGGATGTTGTTTTGAACTTACTTTTGTTTCCTTTTCCACAGAAGAACATAGCTGTTGAAAGTGATGTAAGAATAAACAAGGACAATCTTACTGATCTGTATGTTCAGCATGCAATACCATTGCCTCAGAGAGACTTGCCAAAGAATAGATGGGGGAAAATGATGGAAAAGAAAAGAGGGCGACATGAGCCAAAAAACGAGACTAAAAGGTACTTTTCAATGCTTCTGGTTTTCATCTTCTATGACGAAACAATTTTGCTTTTTTTTTCTCCCTAGGTAAATTTAGGTCAAAAAGATTTCATTTACTCAACAACTATTTATTGAGCACCAGGCACTGTACATATACCATGAATAAAACTCACACAATTTCCTGCTCATATTTTAATATGAAGAAACATGATAAAAAAATTAAGGAAAATATATTGTATGTTACATCATGACAGAAGAAAAAGCAGTGAGAGGATTTACAGTTTTATTTATTTATTTTTTAAAAAATATATTTTTATTGATTTCAGAGAGAAAGGGAGAGGAAGAGAGAGATAGAAACAGCAATGATGAGAGGGAATCCTTGATTGGCTGCCTCCTGCACGTTGGACCGAGCCAGCAACCCAGGCATGTGCCCTTGACTGGAATCGAACCTGGGACCCTTCAGTCCGCAGGCTGACGCTCTGTCCACTGAACCAAACCGGCTAGGGTGGATTTACAGTTTTAATTAAAGTGGCCAGGAACAACCTCACTGAGAAATGCCATTTCAGTAGAGAGACCTAGCGAGTAGCGTGTAAGCTAGCGTTCCAAGCAGAATACAATAATTGGGGTCAGGAGTGTGCCCACAAACAGCAAAGAGACCCCCAGGCTGGGTGGAGGGATTCAGAGGGCGAGGGGGCGAGGTTGACTGTGCGTGAGTGGAGATTGTCAGATCACATAAAGCTTTGCAACTCATTGTGAGAACTGTGGCTGGACTGTTGAGAGGAGAAGGCAGTGGAGGGTTTCAAGCAGGGCGGTGACACCATCTGAAGTCCGTTTTAACAGGGTCATGCTGGCTGCCATATTGGGAAGTGATTTAAGGTGGGGAGGGACAGGGAAAGCAGTTAGACTGCAGTGATGCAGGCAGCAGCTGGTGATGACTGTGAGGTGGTCGTGGACTTGATAAGAAGTGGTTGGGTCTGGATGTATTTTAGAGGTAGAGCCAGAGCCAACGTGTGCTGAATTGTGAGAAAAAATAGAATCAAGACTCTAATAAGGTCTTTGAATAATACAGAAATGGAGAGCTCATACAGCTTCAGGGACACTTTCACATTTTTAAATTTCAGAAAATTGTTTATAGAACCACAAGCAAATGAATTTCCCTTTTAAAGGTACATGTGATTAATCAGTGTAGTTGGTTAGTTAATGAGGACTAAGTACCCAGAGATCCCTAAGTGAGCTAGTTTCTTTTCCTGTGTCACTTATATGGCAAGTGGGTGTTACTGATTACTGAGTCTCCTTTGGGAGCCTTCTGTTTGTAAGGTACTGTCATGGGCAGTGCAGTAGCGATGGAGTGAGGGAGAATGCTAATTCTGATTCCAGGTTTTAATCTCTAGTTATGAAGGATGCAGAAAAACTCATGACCGGTAGGGAGGTTATTCTCCGAGGAGTAGAATAGTGAAGATTGGGGCATGCGTGCCCAGAGTCTTTTGGAAAGTAAATGAGCGTACACTCCCACTTTGGATCAGGAACACATTCAGTTCAGATTGAGCATCATTTTAGCTCGATGGTTGCGTGTTGGTCAGGCTGTGTATTAGTGTCAACTTTCATAAATCTGGATTATATATTATATATGCTGTGCATATCTTTAATTGACTTCTGTTAACTCTTACTTCGAAAGTATTTTCTTCTTTATCTGCACATTCAGGCCCATTGTCCTAGGCAAAGCTTTCAATCCTGACGTACTTTACTTCATGTGACGGCTTCTTTTAGTCCCTCAGAGTCACTTTGGAAAGGATCTTTGGCTCTATTTTTAAAAATCACAGTTTGACTCCTGCATCAGAGCATTAAAGCTGGAAGGATCTACTAGGTCACCGAACGTTACTGAGCCGCCTGCTGGTTCATCTCTGGAGGAACGAAGCTCTGGAGAGGTGCTGAGACGTGCCTGGTCCCACCGAGCTGGACCAGGGCTTTACTGCTGCGCTTCTCGGACCTGAAGGTGCCCCTTGCCTCTTAGATTGAACTCTCACAGCTGACGCACCTGCTCACAGTCCTTCTGTTTCCCTCCTGCAGTGGCAGTGGATTAGAATGAGTTTATTTTTCATCTTCTGCCAAACGGTTGTCAGTGGCAAATTTGGCCAATCACCTGGGATCTGGTTAAAAGGCAGATTCTGAATTTTTTACAAGCTCCCAAGATACTACAGATGCTACTGGTCCCTGGACCACACTTTGAGTGGCAAGGCTGGAGAGGTCTTCCTGCTAAGTGTGTTTAATTAAAAGGTTTTTATCATAAATCTGTTGTTTGAGGTATAAAGAATAATGACCAAATGAAATGCTTTTATTATCTTACGATTAAGAGTGGGAATTAGATTTTCAGAAGCTAAATATGAAGACGTGCTAGATTTTAAAATTAAAATCATACAAATGTCACAGTTCCAGTTTTTTAGAAAATGCCTTGGCGTAAGCTACCTTACTGAATGGAGCATGGTGTTCCGTATCGCCGTATGTAGATTGCCGCTGCGGTCGTCTTGGTATGGCTTTGTAGTTTATTATTCTTTCTGAATAGTAATACTTGGTCAAGATAACCCTGTCAATAAGATGGTGATTTTTAAAAATTAGAGAATTTTTAGTTACTAGGAAATTCTGTTTTACTTTTTAGGGGTAGTTGGTCAATTGATGTTTTAAAAATAACTCTTGTGTGTACAATAACACTTTAAATTTCATGTCAACAAATATTTAAACTTTAAAGCACTAGAAAATTGTTATTTCATTTACAATGTAAAAGAAAATTTCTTTTCCAGTGGTCCTACTTACAATAGATTGGTCTTATCAGTAAATTTTTTTGGTCATGGTTTGTTTTAACTTTACATTCTGGTAACTGCTTTGCCATTGCAGATGGCATCTTTCATGAATGTGTCTCTGATTGCAGGAGTAGCACTGTAGACGTGTCAAAGAAAAGACCTCTCATTGTGTTTGATGGAAGTTCAACAAGCACAAGCATAAAAGTGAGAAAGACAGAGAATGGGGATAATGATCGACTCAAGCCTCCCTCTCAGGCAAGCTTTGCCAGTAATGCCTTTCGAAAAGTATCCAGTTCCTCTTCAAGTGTGTCACCCCTAATTCTGTCCTCCAATTTGCCTGTGAACAATAAAACGGAACACAATAATAATGACACTAAACAGAACCATGACTTAGCGCATGGGAAAAGTCCTCTGGGCCCCGCGAAGCTGCCGCCGTTGTCCCCAGTGGGAACTACTCCAGTGAAGCTAAAGCGAGCTGCTCCGAAGGAAGAAGCCGAGGCCGTGGTGAGTGAGAGGGGAACGAGGCCTCTGAGCAGTCACTGCTGCAAGCTGGTCCTTAGCCCTCACGTGATCTGTCAGACTTTCACATCTCATTTCTCATAAATCCATCATGGTAAACTGATGCTTTTTAAGAAGTACACTCAGTTTTGTTTTTTTCCTGCTTAAAATGTGTAAAGAGAGAGTCTCTTAGACACTTATCCTAGATTTTTCTCATTTAGATCCTTTAAGTATCTTGCAACTAAAAGAAAGAAACACTCTTTTTTAAAAATTTATTTTTATTGATTTCAGAGGGGAAGGGAGAGGGAGAGAGATAGAAACATCAGTGATGAGAGAATCATTGATTGGCTGCACACCCCCCACAGGGAATCAAGCCCGCAACCCAGGCATGTGTCCTTGTCCAGAATCGAACCCCTGACTGTCAATCCTCATGCCGACGCTCTATCCACTGAGCCAAACCGGCCAGGGCAGAAAGAAATCCTCTTGTTAGCAAGGCTCAGCATGGTAGGTAATTTGTGCAGGTCACATTTCAGTAGCATGGGAGGGCGTGGTCTTTGTATTGTACTTAACTTAAGCCACACTAGAGTCTAGGACAGCCGTGGGCAAACTACGGCCCTCGGGCCAGATCCGGCCCGTTTGAAATGAATAAAACTATTGAAAAAAAAGATCGTACCCTTTTATGTAATGATGTTTACTTTGAATTTTTATTAGTTCACACAAACACTCCATCCATGCTTCTGTTCCGGCCCTCCGGTCCAGTTTAAGAACCCATTGTGGCCCTTGAGTCAAAAAGTTTGCCCACCCCTGGTCTAGGACTTACCACTTGCCTCCCCTGCCCCTTGAATGTCCCTGTCCTTGGAGGGTAGAGGACACTTGGAGGAATCTACTATGTTGTGTTCTACTGCACTTAAGCATTTTAGATGCTGGCAAATTGGATACAGTTACACAGTTTACTTAGAGTTTAATTTATGAGATTTATGTAAACATCCAGCGGTTTTATAACCTTGTTCATCTCAGACTGCTATAACAAAAATACCATTGATGGGATGGCTCAAGCAACAGGCAGTTATTTCCTACCATCCTGGAGGCTGGGAAGTCCAAAATCAAAGCCCTGGCAGATTCAGTGTCTGGTGAGAGCCCACTTCCTGGTTCATAGTCAGTTGCTTGTCTGGGACCTCACATGGCAGAAGGGACAAGGCACCTTTCTGGGGTCCCTTTTAGAAAAGCATCAATCCCGTTCATGAGGGCTCCACCCCATTACCGAATTACCTCAGAGGCCCGCCTCCAAATATCACATTGGGGGTTAGGTTTTAATACATGACTTCTGAGGGCACACAGACATTCGGTCTGTAGCACATTCCTGTAGTATATACTTGGGCTTTATTATCTTCAAATTGTGTGTAAAGGGATCAAAACTCAGAGTATTCAGTCAAAAATAGTAGACGCTAGAAAAAGAAAGCTGCTGTGTATCCAACCAGCCCTAAATCCTTACATTAGTTCCTTGAATCCTTTTAGTAATCCTGTGATGTAGACACAATAGTTACTTCCATTTCACAGATGAGGGAACAGAAGGTTGGATAATTTAAATAAACTTGTCCAGGGTTCAGTTAGAACTCATGCCTGGCCCCAGACATGCGCTTACGACACCATGTTGCCTCCACAGTAAACTCGGTCACCTTTGTAGGAAGGAGGGAGAGGGCGTCAGATAGGAGTGGGAAGAGGCATCCACCCTCACATATTACAGTAAGGAGTGAACTTTAAGGAGTTTTTTTTTTTTTTTTAGTTTTTTGAGAAAACATTTTTCTACTCAAAAAACTTTTACTCTTTCAGAGGTGTGGTTTTAAAAATTTTTACTTATTTTTAATCCTCACCCAAGGATATGTTTTCTGTTAATTTTAGAGACAGAAAGGGAGAGAGAAACATCGATGAGTTGCCTCCTGTACATGCTCCGACTGGGAATCGAACCCACAACCTAGGTGTGTGCCCTGACCAGGAATCGAACCTGCCACCCTTTGGTGTGTGGGTCGATGCTCCAACCACCTGAGCTACCCGCTAGGCCAGTGATGGCGAACCTATGACACGCGTGTCAGAGGTGACACGCAAGCTCAGTTTTTTGGTTGATTTTTCTGTGTTAAATGGCATTTAACTATATAAAATAAATATCAAAAATATACATCTTTGTTTTACTATGGTTGCAAATATCAAAAAATTTCTATATGTGACACGGCACCAGAGTTAAGTTAGGGTTTTTCAAAATGCTGGCACGCCGAGCTCAAAAAGTTCGCCATCACTGCCTAGGCTCAGAGGTGTGATTTTGTGTGTTTTTTTTAAAATCTTTTCTCCTGTTAAGGTCTTGGATTGTGAGATTAGGGGGGGACATGGGCTCTGCAGGGGGGAAGCAGCCCAGGAGCAATCAGTGGTCTCAACCCTGCGTATACCCTAGAGCAGCGGTTCTCAACCTGTGGGTCGCGACCCCTTTGGGGGTCGAACGACCCTTTCACAGGGGTCACCTAAGACCATCGGAAAACACATATATAATTACATATTGTTTTTGTGATTGATCACTATGCTTTAATTATGTTCAATTTGTAACAATGAAATTGGGGGTCACCACAACATGAGGAACTGTATTAAAGGGTCACGGCATTAGGAAGGTTGAGAACCACTGTCCTAGAGCTTCAGAAAGTCAGAGGTCAGAGCCTCATCCCTGCTGCCTGTGGGTTCTCATCTAACTGGTCCTGGGATAAGGCCCAGGTCTGGACATACTTGTAAGTGCCCTGGGTGATCCTAAGGTGCACATGTTGAGAACCACAGCTAGAAAAATGGGAGCCAAGCAGGCTTGCTCTGTTTCCTAATCTAAGATCTCTCCCACCAGATGGCAGCAGAGATCTACCATTTGTATGTTGGTAATAAACCTTGGTGGTTTAAAAATAGTCATTCCAGTTGTTCTCTGACATTTTTGTAAGTATAAACTGATTTCTGTTTATGTCATTTTAGGATAACCTGAAGCCACCAGAAACAAAGAGGAAGATACAACACGTTACATGGCCATGAAGGAAAGTTTCCAAAAATGTAAATATAACTGTAGTTTTCAAACAGTTCACATATATCGACAGTATTTACAGAGAGCTTGATTATTTTGAAAATTTTCTAAAGGTTTAAAATTAGGTTAAAAAAAAAAGTCTTTCCCTCCCTGCCTTTCTCCCTCCCTTTGAAAGAAAAAAAATTGCCTTTTATTCTCTGATTAGGAAAGAATTTCTCTTTTTTAAAAAATATGTTTTTATTGATTTTAGAGAGAGAGGGAGAGAAAAACATCCATGTAAGAGAGAAACATCGATCGGCTGCTTCCTCTGCATGCCCCCTACTGGGGATCAAGCCCGCAGCCAGGGCACATGCCCTGACCTGGAATTGAACCAGCAACCTTTCTCTGCACCGGCCGATGCCCAGCCAGCTGAGCCACACTAGCCAGGGCAGAAGGAATTTCTTTGTAAATGAATGGCTTAGTATACGTTATTTATGTTGACCGCAGTCAAATCAGGAAGCTACAAGTCTGGTGTACCATGAAGCATCTGATGGATTTTAGGAATAATTCTCAATCTGTTTCAATCTTTGGAGAACTTGGAGATTTTTTAAAAAAAACTCATATTTTAGAAGTTCACAATTTTTCTTTTCCCAAGCAAAAGAATATAACAGTTCTCAGTATTTTAGTAAATACTGCCAGTTCATCCTTGAGGTTCACTGAGAAAAGCATATTTGCAGTGCTGCCAATACACTACTCAGAATATACAGATAAAATTGCTGTCCTCTAAGTGCTTGCGATTGCTCCTTCCTTTGAAGTCATAGCAGAATTGTTTCTCATGAGTTGACTGCTCAGTGTTGCCCCAGGTCCACCCTTCAGGATATCTTGTCACAAAGCAGTCCTACCTCCTCTTTTCAGGAGCAGTCTGATCTCACTCTGAGCTCGGGGATCTCCCTCCAGGAGCTTAATGAGGCCGGCTTTAAAAATCTCCAGGTGAAGTCATCGTGTTAGAGGTGGTACCTGTTGGTAGAGAGTTCAGTGAACAGGAAGAGGAGGTAGAGTTGTAGAATTTAGGAGAGTCTGGGAGTATGGGGGTGAAGGGGGAAACTCGGTGTGACCCAGATGGGCCAGCAGAGGAGGTGCTGAAGTCGGAAGTTGGCCGGGTCCCTGCTGGTGCAGCATGGAGCGCTGTCCACAGGGCTGTCCCGCAGGCATATCTCTGAGTGTGTGCTAAGTGGTCTTGTTCCAGCTGCATAATTGAGTCAGTGAGCAAACAGGTTATTCCTCACATTCGTGACTTGCAGTGTTCACTTTCCTGCCGTGTGTTTCTAACCAAGTGCGAGAATTCTTGATACTCTCTCCCTTGTATGATTGATCTTCAAATCAGGGTTTGCCTTTTCAGTACTTTTTACAACAGTCTCATTCCTCTTTCTATTTTTAAAACAAGCATTTGAATTCAGCTATTGAATAGCCATAGGAAGAAGTAGTTCCGCCGTGCAGGTGAACACTGTACTGAAACTTTAACCCTGTAGTTTCAGTCCTGCCTTCTCCAGACTGTGCATCTGCTCGCATGAGACAAAGTGGATACATACTGAGTTGCATAAATTGTTAATGTTAGGGCAAATTATTAAGTACGCAGTTGTCTGCGGGGCTGATGTTTTCCTATGCATAACTGTTAAGGGACATTTTGAAAAGTGCAGATTTTAGGGTAGAATGACAAGTTATATTTATTCAGTTGTTCCTTCTGCTTTCATCTGCATTTCTCTCTTAGTTAAGAGAGAATTCGCCATTTGACAGTTTTAAGTCAGTAGAAACTTATTTTTCATTACTCAAAAAATTAACTTTTAATTTGTGTATTTAACTTACAAAGTAGGTTGGTACTAACAGCTGAACTGTGTAACATTGTTGCTTCAAATTGAAGTTTATATTATGGACATTCAGAGTCAGCGCTCATATAGCAGCATGCTCTTGACCTACTTTGAGTTTGAAATGTGGAGGAGCTAAGCTGGGTACTGTGTGTCCCATACACCAACATCCTGGAGCGCTGTGCCTTCCTCCGGGCACAGACACGGCTAGCCCTCGGCGTCTCCACGTGCGGCAGCGGCCCCCGGAGCCTGCCCTGCATAGCCTGCCCCGGAGCCTGCCCCGGAGCCTGCCCCGGAGCCTGCTGAGGGATGCATGGGAAGTGGCAGAGGTGTTGGGAGGCTGATGGTTTGAAGTGTTGCTTTGGTGAGCTTTCAAACTGAGAAGGACTTGAATGGCCAACAACTTCAGAATCCTCTGTGCTCCCTAACACGGGTTACTGTTGTTGCTCTCGATTCTGTAGTCCAATAAAGCCAGTTTTTCTTCTTGTTGGGGTAGGAAAGCGAATGGCATTTGTGTAGAGAGTGTCTTCTGAGGTGGAGTTCCAGGCACTGACCACTGCCTGCCCTTGCCAGGTGGTCTTGTTCTTTTCTTCCTCCCCCTCTTGGTTCCCCGTTTTCCTTTCTCATGGCCTCGTTTCCCGCATTTTCACTTCCTTTTGCCTTCATCTCCCTCCTCTCTGTAGAGCCTAAGCTTCAGGCTTGGTCACAGCGTGGCCCTGCTCATTCCCTGCGGTGGAGCTGGACCGACCCGTCCTCGTGCGGTGAGGTCGGGCGCTGCGAGGGCTCTGAGCGTGCTGGGGCCTCCGGGCTGTCGGCTGCCGTTTTCCAGACGCTCCGCAGCCAGGCCCTTTGGGAAGCTGGTTCACCTTCTGCCATGAGGCCATAGTGCTTTTCCTCAGAATTGTAATTATTTTTAGAAGTAATATTTTGGTTGCTTAAGTTTTCAGAGACAATTCTAAGCTGATCTAGAGACTCATTCAGCAGCAATGACCTTTTTAAAACTTACATTAAGTAAACTGCCAGTAGCTTAAATCACATGTATGTCAGAGCCTCCTCTGTTCTCTGCTGTGGGACTTCAAATGTTTTTCAGTGTGCTCTTTATTAAATGCTTGTGCAGGTTTTGTAATTCAGTACAGAAAGTTTAACCTTGTAATGTACATTTTTTTGTATGTAAAAAGTCTTTTAAGTAGCCTTATCCTTATTTAAATAAACTGAATAAAATTATTGAGTAGGTCTGTCGTTCGTAAAAAAAAATAAAGTGAAAAAATACTCTGTAATGACTTGATCTCTTTTTATTTGAGTAAGTGCCATTGAAAGGTGTCATTTTTATAGTAAAAAGTCTGTTTCTGGACTGAGTGAGCTCCAGCATGATTCCGATAGTCCCCCATCTCGGGGCGCTGCTGCCCAAGGAGCATGGCTGGAGTGGCCGGCGTTCAGGACTGCCTGGTGCGGCAGAGGCTGACACTGACCACCGCTGTGCCTGGGGGAGGGAGGCACGCTCCCAAACCTCATCCCTTGTAAGCTTTCTTTTTTTAAAAAAAAATGTGTGTGTGTGTGTGTGTGTGTGTGTGTGTGTGTGTGTGTGTATACATATACACACACATATATATATGCAAATTGATTTCAGAGAGGAAGGGAGAGAGAGAAACATCAATGGTGAGAATCAAAATTGGCTGCCTCCTGCAGCCCTCCCGCCCTCACCGGGGATCGAGCCATAGGCCGACGCTCAACCACTGAGCCATGCTGGCTGGGCCCTTGTAAGCTTTCTTAACTGGGGCAAACCAGAGATTCATTGAGGGCTTATTTGTGTTTGCGTGGTCTTAAGAAAGTTAATTTCTAAACTGGTGTCTTAATGTTGATAGTGAAGCTCTAAATTAACTAGGAAAAGCCTCAGGTCACCTGCCTTGAACTTAAAAATTAGATCCTTGATTTTTTTTTTTTTGTCTGGACTGAAGCGACCAAAAAATTTTATTTCCATTTAGATTTTTACTAATGTGTTCTAGTACTAACTGAAGTGCTTTGCCCTGCCAGTTGTTATAAAGTTGGTTGTCTTCCCTGTTGTGGCAGAAGAAATAAAGATGTGAATTAAGTTCTCCTAAAGAAAAGACAGGCAAGTGAACAGGAATGATGGGTAATTATAATGAGAGGGGAAAAAATCAGGCTTAGGGTGAGAAACTATTTAAATTCTAGTGGTTAGGAAAGCCTCTTTGAAACGCTGGTATTTTAAGGGGTGACAGCTATGGAAGCTTTTGGGAAAAATATCCTATAAATCGTAGATTGTGATCAAGCAAATGCTTCTACTGTCACTCCTGGACCCCTGCTGCAGCAGTGATGGGGAAGAAGCTAGAAAAATATGCCCCACTGACAGCCACCCACTCCCCATCCAGCTGCCAGGTGACTGACTGCATGAGGTCCCAGGGCAGACAGCCCAGACAGCTGACTCGAAGAATCACAGGGAATAGAAGGGGCGGTGCTAAGCCACTAAGCGCTGGGGATGGTTTGCTACCCAGCACTAGATAACAGACATCAGTCTCCATGGTGAAGTGAACACCTGAGTCTTCGTAGGTTTTTAGATCAAAAAGACTAGTGGGGAGGGTGGTATGAAATGAAGTCAGAGAAGGTAGGCAGAAGCCAGAGTAAGGTGGATCTTAGGCCATAAAGGACCTCGAATGTGATGCTAAGAGAAATTGGAAGCTGTTTGTTAGTGCTGTTCAGACTTGACCAAGTTGAATCAAAAGACAGAAACAAGACTGGTTGTGTACAATAGCATGAAATGTTTTTTAATCTCTAGTAAAAGTAACCAGGTGCCTTGTTTTTAGCCTTTGGGTACATGGTTTGAACCAAACTATTTACATTTCTTTGACTAATAATTAAACCTTAGAAGACTAAAATACCAGTTACGCTTAAAGATAGTTTTGTAAATATAAGAACGCCAACCCTAACTAAGCCTTCTCTTATGTCTATTCTGCCCTGCACATCCTTTTTTTGAAATAAACTGTTAAAACATAAACCTTGTAGCGTTTTCGGTGTATAGAAATAATGCTGGCTAAGGCGGTATTGAGAGTTTCCCTCTCCCGACAGCTTCCCGCCACTGATGCGCATTAGTCTGGTGCCTTCCTGAGACTAATCAGTACCGATACATTGTTAGCTAAAGTCCATAACTTTATTCAGGCTTTCTTAGTTTTTACCAAATGTCCCTTTTCTGTCCCAGGATACCACCTTACCTTTAGTTTTCATAATAACTCCTTAGAGTCAGCTGGGCTGTGATAGTGTCTCAGACTCTCCTTAAATTTCTCAGCCTTGACAATGGGGAGCATATTGGTTAGTTGTTTTGAAGAATGCCCCTCAGTTGGACTTGTCTCGGGTTTTTTGCATGATGAGACGGGTTACGAGTTTCAGGAAGATGGGAGGAAAGAGCCCTTCCATCCGTTGTATTAGGGTGCATTCTCTAACGGCTTTAACCCTTTCGAGGGGACCCTCGGCCACCGGCTCAGGCACTGTCAGGTCACATGGGGTCACTTTCTTTCCTCCTCTCATGCTGTGCTCGGGACAGGGTCACCGGAGGAGCGTGGAGCACGCTTCACCTTGCTGGCCAAGCGGCCACATAGCCCACTTGGAATTCTCTGCAGAATTGTCTGTTCTCCCCTCTTTTAAAATTTAATAATCATCTCAGTGTGGACTCGGACACTTGCGCTTTGGGTAATGACATAATGCTTTCTTGTTGGTTTTGCTCAGATCCCTCTGGCTCTGGCCACTGAGGACGGCCTCAGTTGGCCGCTGTGTCCCTCTGACGTAGCCATCCTGTGGCTTCTCTGGAGCACCTCCTCACTTTCTGGTGGAACAAAGTGCTCCAGGTTCCTCTTGCATGTTTCCTGTTCCAGTCCTAGGCGTGGCCATCTCTTCAAGGAGTCTTGGTTCCTTTTATTGCAGGATGGCATTAGAAAGCAAGATCTGGGCACTAGGGTGCTCATTGATACTGGGGTGTCATTGCTTCTGGGCCGCAACTGACAGAGCAAGGAAATACATATGTGTTTATACTGACCCTGGTATATGCACACATCTGCGTGTTTTTATATGTAAGCGTCTCTATAGTAAGCTAAACATGAGTTCATACTGTGTGGACCACTGTAGGCCTCCTGTGCTTGTTTCTAAGTGCCCGCCCCAAAAATGAGAAACCAGGCTCCCACCACCCACTGTCCACTTACCTGTTTGCTTCCGGTACCCAGGCGCAGCGGTGGCCGCTGTTCACCGGTGCCCGTGTGGGAAACAACGCCAACAACTACATCGAGTGCAGTGATTTATACAATTCCTCTGCCTCTATCCTTTCAGACTCCACTTGTTTCCAGTGTTACTTTAAGTCATGTCGCTTAAAAATATGGGAGTTTTATATTTTAATGAACAAGAGGATGTCAAGTTAACTTTTCTCTGTTTGATTGATTGATGAGAGAGAGAGAGAGACCGATTTGTTGTTCCACTTATTTATGCATTCATTGGGTGGTTCTTGTACGTGCCCCAATGGGACGATGCTCTAACCAACGTGATCGCCCTGTTCCTGGCCACACACGCCATTAGTGCAGTAGGGACTGGCTGTGTTTCACACTCTACATAAGGAGCTGGAATAAGACATGTCTCTGCCCCAAGGGGCTTTACCCTTTTATTTATTTTTATTTATTTATTTTTAAAATGTATTTTTTTAAAATGTATATTTTATTGATTTTTTACAGAGAAGAAGGGAGAGGGATAGAGAATTAGAAACATCGATGAGAGAGATCGATCAGCTGCCTCCTGCACGCCTCCCAGTGGGGATGTGCCCGCAACTAAGATACATGCCCTTGACCGGAATTGAACCCGGGACCCTTCAGTCCGCAGTCCGACACTCTATCCACTGAGCCAAACCGGTTAGGCGGGGCTTTACCCTTTTATTAATCCCCGTTGATTCAGTCTAAACATTCAAATAATTTGAGAAAAAATCTGAAGAACATTTTATAATTAAAGTCAGGATGTTCTGTGTACCAAATGGCTTACTAGTTAACGTTTTTAATTCTTTGAAGCCTAAGGAAACCAACCCAAAACTGGCTTTCTCTCTTGGAAGATGCTTCCGACCCTGGGAGGGTTTTGTTCACATGCTTCTCATTGTACAACTGTTGATAGTGCCTGGGATGAAGTTACCCGCTCTGATTTCTGTGGCAGACTTATTTCTTCTCTCACTTCCCTTTGGCGTGCTGAGAAGAGTCAGTTTCGTAGTTCATGTGCATTTGGGCACGTGTAATGCCTGGACATTCCCTTCTCAGTGTTTCAGAAAAGCTCGTATTCAGAGATCGCATCCCCCACAATCACCTCCACATATAAGAAAACAAATTGTGTTTTATTTTAGAAATAATGCCTCCCTTAACCTTCACCCAGTTATGGCTTTTTCTCATTGTTTCAGACTGGAAGCAATGGGGCGCAGCACTCTGATTATGGAAGAGGAGGCGTGCGGAGGGAGTGACTTCTCCGAAGGCTGCCGCTAGCTGGGGGCAGAGCAGCGGCCCAAACCTGGACCCCCTGCCCTTTTCTTAAACCAGAAATGGGCCCCTTCCCAGGCCCCTCCACGCCCACCCCTCCCCTGGAGTACAGTGCAGTGGCCCTGCGTTCACACGACGGCTCACTGGCTAGCGGAGAGGAGAGGGACATGACAGACAGACGCACAGCAGCAGGTGTGCGACCGGCAGTTCCCCAGGAGGGACGGGCTGGCGTCGGGAGCCTGCCCGTGTGCTGGCCTGCCTGGCCTCGAGTGAGCATCATTCCTCTGGGCTCCCGTTTTCACTCTGATCCGGGGTCTCCCCCAGATCTCAGTTCTCTGTATTTCCACCTCGTTTCACCCTGAGCCCCTCAGGCTGCCCTCTGAGGCCAGGCAGCCTCATGTCGGAATGAGCACTTAAATACACAGGGAGCATTATAAGGCTTTTTGCTCATGTCTATCTCTACTTCATGGACCTTGTGCCTCCTCCTGGGGTCTCTGCAGAAGAGGGGGCCTCCCGCGCCTGGCCCTCCTTCCTTTCAGCGTGCGTGGCATGCCTCCTGTGAGTGTGTCTACTCTGTGTCCGGGTTCAGGGCGCTCCGGCAGGGGCGGGGCGGGGGGTGCCCACTGTTAGTGTGGGATCCCCTTGGATACTGTCAGTCACCCTTTCCCGGAAGGATTCCCTGCCGTGGCTACCCTTCCTCTGCTCTTATAACATCTCAAT